GGGTCTCAAGGAACTTTTCTCCATATTGACAAGGAAGCCAAACTCCTTTAGACATTGTATAGTCCTTTGAGCGTCACGGTGAGATTGTTTCCTCGTTCTGGACCTTATCAACAGATCGTCGAGATAGGGGTGAATGTGCACCCCTTGTTCTCGCAGGACCACAACTGGATGCACCATGACCTTGGTAAAAACTCGGGGAGCTGACGACAGGTCGAACGGAAACGCTCTGAACTGGAAATGGTCTTCCTCGACTTTGAACCGTAGGAAACTTCTGTGAGAAGGAAAGATTGGTATGTGTATGTACGCCTCTGTCAAATCTATGGAGGTGAGGAGTTCCCCTGGTTGCAGGGACTTGGCTATGGACATGAGTGTCTCCATCCGAAAATGCTTGGGCTCCACATATTTGTTGACGAGCTTTAAGTCCAGGATAGCCCTCCAGTCTTCTTGGGGACGGTAAAGAAGATGTAGACACCTGTCCCCAGAGCCTTTGCAGGTACTGCTTCTATCGCTTGAATTTTTAGCAGGTGACTTATTGTTGACTTGGTCCTGTTTCTCTTTTGAGAATTTTTGTGTGTTGGAGACTCGGAGGAAGATTTCAAAATTCGATTTTGTATCCCTCTTTGACAATGTCTAAGGTCCAAGCATCTGCCTGGGACCATGCTTGACTGAAGAGTGTCAGACGTCCTCCCACCGGCGGGTCTAGATAGTCATGCTCTAGAGTTCTTGGGATCCCTGTCTTCTTTTTCCTGACGGTTGGTAAAGTTGGGTCTGGTGAATCGACTGGTGAATCCTCCTCTACGAAAGGATTGTTTGTTGGCGTTCCAGGACTGTCTCCTGTCTTGCCGGAACCTAGGTAGTGTGTGGTGCGTAGGAAAGGAGGAGGAAGATGAGGAAGGAGTTCCCTTGTCCCTCAGGCGAACCATCTTGGGAAGGGCCTTGTTTTTATCCCGGGTTCCACGAGAATCTGCTCCAACGGCTCTCCAAAAAGCTTGTCTACCTGAAAAGGGTAAGCAGATACAATTGCCTTGGATTGATAGTCAGCAGGCCAAGCTCGATGTCAAACCATGCGACGGACAGCCGCTGTAGCCGCCAGAGCCTTTGAAGCATAAACCATTGTGTCCAGGGTGGTATCTGCAGCGTATGACACTGCCTATAGCACTCTGTTGGCCCCTTCCAGAAGCCTGCAATTATTGTCAGGTAGTAATTGGATGAGCTTCCTCATCCACACAATGGTTGCCCTGGAGACAGTGGATGATGCTGCAGACATTGTAATAGCCATTGCACTGGCTTCATGAGCCTTTCTTAGCCCTATTTCGGCTCGCCTGTTAAAGTTGTTCTTGAGGTTGCCATGACCATCTTCAGACACCAGACCAGATGATTGCAGAGCTGCAACTGGTGCATCAACCGCCGGTACCAGTAAAATTCTTGAAGCAGATGATGAAATGGGGTACAGCTTCTTAATGGCACCTGGCACTGGCCTATTAGCAAGTGGTCTTTTCCATTCTGCCTTCATCTTTCTGGTGTAAAACTCAGGAAGGGGAAAGGCCATTTCCGAATAGTCAACTGGGGGAAAGAAATCTGTAATTTCAGCCCCCTCTTTGGTCCTGAGTATCAGCCGGTTTGCCCCCAATAGGTTGGGAACCCTGGATATGGAGTGCTGAGAGTTTTAGAAAGTAGGTAAGTAATATCCTCTCCCTTAAAGAATCTAAATGATTGGTCCATGATAGGTGGTTTCCTTTCTTCCTCTTCATTAGAAAAGAACCCCCCTTCCTCTTGTTCACTGGGAATATGAGAGGCAGAGTCATACTCATCCTCCATTAATTCAGATAAACAGCCCTCCCAGGGAAGTCTTTTCTGGGCGGCCTTAGTAGGCCAGGGACTTTTTCCCTTGTATTTTCTGGGAGGGAGGAGGGGAAGGAGACCTTGGACGCGCGTAGTCGAGAGAGAGGGCAATTTCTTAACTTATGGCTTGTCTGACATATGCCATTACTCTAGGGGAGATGGGAGGGGGCCCGTCATCGACTACGTTACCGGACGAAGTTCCCACGTCATTTTCACCTTCGTAGGGCTCATTCTGTCCTACGGGTGGTCTTTTGCCCTGCCCAGCACTTTCAGGGCGTTGCGGCTGCGGGCATAGGCACTCCTGGCCGGTCCCGTCTTTTTCCATGCCAGCCAGAAGTTTTCAAAATGGCCACCGGAGCCAGCGCGGGCTCTTTCTGCGCTCGCATTTTGGCGCGCTTCGCTGCTTTGCCATCTCCTCACCTCTCTGCCGCGCCTGTGGTCCTTTAATGGGCTGCATGGTCGATTTTAGCAATCCTTGCCGCTCTCTGGAGTGGAAAGCCGTTGTTGCCAGAAACAGCAGAGAGAGATAGTTCCGAGGCCTTCCACAGAAGGGTGGGGGGTTTAGTGAGAAAGCGAGGAGAGGCAAGTCTTTTTTTTTTGCTTTGTTTTAAGAATAGACAGAGAAATTAGGTTAGCGAGACAGAAAGAGAGTGAGGATCAACAAACAGTAGAAAAGGTAAGGCAAGGCCTAGACCTAGCTGCTCTCCCTACTGAGGAAGGAAAAGAACTGAGCCTAGGGTGACTCCCACCACAGGAAACAGGAAGTTAGTCCTGCCTCCCTGAGTGATGGATGGGAATCACCCACAAGATGGCCTCCACCTCAGAGGGAGAAAGAACAGCAGCAAATTCATTAGCTCAGGTTTTGGTAAAGCAAGACAGCATCTGTACACTCCTCCTCTAGACAGAAACCATGAATAAAAAATACTGACCTGCCACCATACATCAACAAAACTGAAGCACAGGACTCGAGAGCTTCACCAGCATGTCTTCTAGGATAAGAGGAAGACTGGACAGGTGACAGGACTCATGACTGTCTCTTTCCACCATCCTATCTCTGTGGCTCTAGTAAACATACTCAAACAATAAGATGGAACCAGTTCTCAGAGCACATTTCTCAGCACTACACAAAAACCCCTCTAAACCTTCTACCAAATGGTATCCAGAAGGTATATAAAAAGCTTTGGCAGTAATACAAAAAGGTACTCTGGTTCAGAAAGCATCAGTTACTGGCCAATCTAGAGGCCAGCTGGTGTTTTCGTTCTGATTACAGCAGGCTCAGCTCCTCCATGGTGATCCAGCATCCAAGGCAGCCCTTGTAACTGGAATTAAGGTGGAACTACTTCCCACCTCTCCCTCGATGATGTCAGGGCAGCAGTGGGGAAAGCTTATAGGTCAAATACGGTGTCTGGTGTGCTTTGGATTTGAGATTAACCAAGGTTTGCAGAAACATAGTATAGTCTGGCTGCCTCCCCTATGTGGATTTCTTCAACACCGGTGAGCCACATTTGATATATTTTTGATGAAAAGTATCTTTCATCATAAAACAGCATTCTTGCCCTGACCTGGATAGCCCAGGCAAACCCAATCTTGTCAGATCTCAGAAGCTAAGCAGGGTCAAGTGGCAAGTACTTGGGATGGGAGACCTCCTTGAAATACCAGAGGCGGGGGGCAAGCTTTCTTCAGCCACCTCTCTGAATATCCTCCAGGCCCCCAGTAGGGGTCAGTTACCAGAGGTCACCATGACTTCCAGGTAAATCCCAAAAAACACACAAAAAAGAAAACAGCATTCTATTCATCTATACTGCTGTCCTATGTGTGTTTACTCAAGAAAACATCCCACTTCATTCAATATGACTTACTTCCAGGTAAGTCTAGGACTGCAGCCGGAGTTATATAACACGGTCCCTGTACCTGTAACATACCAAAAGTTTTCTGTTTTGAATGAAATTTATTCAATTTTTCATACATATCACTGAAGCGTTCTTTGTTTCTGTACAACAGATTGTGGTGTAAATGAAAAGCAGCTGTGTTTTACACTATTCTGGGAAACAAATGCAATTCATTAAAAAGGAGGAACACAGTTTTGTAGCCTACAATGTAGTAATATGTAATGCAGAAACCCAGTGTTCTGTTGATGCCTTTTCCTCCCTGCTAGTCCAATTCTTATATTTTACGCTTGGAAGAATCATTTAAAAATTGGAAAAAATATATAATTTTGGTCCTGACATATCTTGAGTAGGAAAGTGAAATATGTGTATTACAAACTGATACTGCTCATCACATGTACTATAAAACTGTATAACATACAAAAATGTGTATAAAATTTATCTATAAGCTTTGAAATCCTGCTGCAGCATACTAGACCCCTTAGAAATTTAGTGATATCTTATTCCAGAAAATAAGTAAATTGCAAATTATATTACTACAATAGGTTTTGAATTTAAAATGGACTCTGGAAAATACAGAATTTAACAAACTTAACTTTGAAATATGATTAAATTAATTTTTCTAATACTTTTAAAAACTTAATTTTTTTCTATACAAAACTAATGGCAGACTATCTCCAACGAAACATAATGACCTGATACTGTGTCTATACCAGATATCACCCAACGTTATACTGCTACTTGCATCACATTCTATTTTTCATAAACTGTGTATCTCGCTTTCAATACACACTTCAGGAAGTTAGAACAGCCAAACACATATTTACACCTTACTTAAGACAAAGTTAATTTAATACTCATTAGTATAAGTAGTGATCTAAATATAAAAAATTGAAAATATTTCATTTAGTGAATCATATAAATGGCGGACAACTATGGAAACTGGAGGTAAAAAGCCTATAAAGTATAACTATCATTTTCCTTCTGCCCCAATCCATAATTATACAGTAATATACAATTATTACACTTCTTCAAGCTAAAGTACAGTCTGTGATAAAATTAACATAACGAGGCATTACCCTGGCATAGTTCCAGTTTAGCCCTTGAGACTACACCAGAGTATCTAGTTGCATATGGCAGCTTGAATCATTTTAGCAGGTTGATTCTACTGTAGCAACCACTCTGCCGCCTCTCCGAATTTCCCTCTCTTTCCTTTGAAACTTTTCTTTTTGTTTCTCCAGTTTCTCTTGTGTTTTTTTGATATCTTTAATTTTCTTCTTTATTGTTGATCGGTCGTTTTGACTGGACACTCCCAGGGCCTATCAAAGAAAGAGGTACATTTTATTAAATTCCAGAAAAGTAGCAGCAGTGCTGTTCTCGGCACAAAAACAGTCCTGTGCTATCAGTACCTATTACCAGCACTTTATCATGACAAAACTAAAATTCAAATGGAATGTTTCTTTGCATTCCGAAAGGTTTTTTTTTTTAAAGGGATTCTAGTCTTGGTTTGAAAGTGTGTGGGAGTAGAACAACAACTTCTATATAGTTGTGATCATTTCTCAGGACATTTTTACCCCTATGAAATGCAGCCACTATGGTTGTAATTTTAATCAGACAACTGGCGGCAGGCGCGCGGCCGCACGCGGGGGTGGTGGTGGTTAACCCTTTCTGATGGTGCTGTTCTTTCACAAAAAACTGTCCCCATCCCAAGTCTATATGACCCTGTAAGGAAGGCTAAGGAGACAGCAGTCCCACAAAACACACATCAGCTCACTTGTGGTGAACATGCTTTCTAACCTGGTAATTCCATTTTGCTCTCACCTTAGGTAAAGTTTTTATGTATCCATCTTCCCAAAGATGGAACCATGTAGCCTCCTTTTTAACACTTTAAAAATTCAAGCTACTTTAGAAACCAGTTGATTCCAAGTTTTAAGTCAATGAATCCAATTTGTGTGTTGCCCTGATAAAAGGTTGTTTTATTCACTTATTACTTCTCAACTTGAGTATTCTCTTGCTGGCATGTATTTTTCTCAACTTCACTCTCACTCCTCTTATCCTATTGCTGGTTTGATCCCCCCCCCCCGACTCAGTTAAGTCTCTGCTTTTGATTCTTAGAATATCTTGGTTCTTTATCCCCTTAAAGATCATTTCTTCATTGGCTCTCTTGTTGCCTTTGCTCTACAGGTACTTTTGTCTTGCCTGAAACCTTGGGTCAGTTACTTTATTTCACGCCTTTGTCCTTACTATCTTGCTTTCCCCTTTCTTTAGAACTCTCTACCTTTACAATAGCTCACCTCACACCTTGGAAGTATTTAAACACAGCATCTGAAACTGTATCTCTTCTCCAGACCTCTAACCTCTTAATTTCTGCCTCTCCTTCCCCTTTCCGGATATTGTTCTTTTTAGATTCTAAATCTCTGGAGATTATGTCTATTTAGCACAACAGTAAAGCACCTGGCTTTTAAGATACTTTATAATGATGAAATTATTGCAGCTTTTAACTTCACTGTGTTAGGATATCTTGAAATAGTAGGTCTGACAGTTTGCTTTTAGATTTTTGTATACATTTGCAAACATGCATCTTTTCACTGTTGTAGCTAACTAGCTAACCTTCAGCCTTGAAGGATAATTTACAAATAAATGGCTTTATGCCCAGAATAAATACAAGAACAAACAGAACAGTTTGCAACAATTATTCCTTGGGATCTCAGAGGTGCCTTACATCACGCCTTCAGACAGCACAAATCAAAAGTTTTAGTAAAGTCACGTGCTGACCTGTGTAATATCTTCTATATAAACTGGCTACATCCAATAATCTCCAAATCTCTCCTATTAGGAATTCAGTGAAATCTGTTTTCCCCTTTTTGGAAAAGCTCTGGGTAAGAAGCTTTGAAACTTTCCACCCCCTAAAGTCTACTTTATCCTTATATAGGATTGATTTGTATGGGGAATGCCAGTGTTCTGGGTGTCTGTTTTGTTTAATCAGATCTAGAATGGTCAGATTCTTTTTAAATAAAAATTTTAGCAATATATCAAGCATCACTGTGATTTAGTGGTTAATGCATTGTTTTAATTGAGTCAAAGAGGTGGCAGTGTGGCAGCACGACATCAAGAGGCCCTGACGTCATCAGCCAGCCGACAAGAATACATGCCGTCAGAACACGACTGATCCAGCCCGCAGATGAAGCCCTGGCTAGCTGCATTGTGTGTGTAATTAAAAATGCTGTATGTTGTCTTCCCTATCCTCCACGAATATTGTTAGTCCAATTGTCAAAGAGTAACTGTAAATCACTCTGAGCCTGCAGGTGTGTGGGAATGAGCGATCAATAAATCGAAATTATTATTATTATTATTATTATTATTATTATTAATCTTCATTTGGCTCTTTAAAGTACTGTTCCCCTCACAGGTGGGCCCCAGCAACCACCACAGACTGCCTTTGAAACCCAACTCGTCCAGATTGGTGGTTATCATCAGTCGGTGGAGGCAGATAAACTTCAAATGCTCTACTGGTAACCAACTTGTTACTGGGTTAAATTCAAATGTTTTCTTCTGAAGACTTACGCAGCCTTGTATGGAGCACCTATCTCCACAGGAAAGCTTTCCATGCACTGTAGTCTAATTAGGCATCTCCACTGCTTGCTACTGAAACTTAAACTAATAGCATTTCAATTGGGCCTGAGTTTACAGAATCTGTTACCATCCAAAATTCACCAGCCCTGAAATTGTAGCTCATTTAGACATACTGCTAAATAAGATCATTTTAGACAAGTAGTTAGACTTTCATATAATGATAACTGGAGATGGATTTTACTGTCCCTTTTTATTGATCCTACTATTTTATTTCTAGTCTTTTGTTTTTGTTATACACTGCATCAAGAATGTTTGTAAAATTACAAAACTCTGCCCCCCCCCTTGAAGTTGCACAGTGGTTCTGAAATGTGACAAAACTTACTTTACCCACAAGAATCTAAGACATGAATTGGGCCTGGGTCTATTTTCACTTAAAGCTTCCTTTAAAACTCCTGAAGACACTCCACCTTGCAATATATTAAGAGAAAACAGAAGATTCTCTTTTGCAATCTTGGAAAGGGGAACTAAGCGCTACAATGCTGGACTTGAACGGAGGGGGGCAGGGATCAAACCCCTACAGGGTCATTTAGTTCAGTGGGAGCCTTGAGCTGATTCCCATTCCTCCGTCTGCCCTGCCAACCACTGTTGTGATGATTAAAAAACAAAACAAAAAACAAAACAAAAAACAAACAGCCTCACTTTACACCATCTTGTACTCCTTGGAAGGAAAAGAGGTTATAAATCTGACTATAAAAATATGTTAACTATAGCAAATGAAAAGCTAGCAATAAATTGATATAAAGTGTAGTATCATTTTTAATCAGCAGATGGCAGCATCCAACAAGAGTAAAAAAACCTTTCAGTGAGTTCTGAACACACTAGCCTTCCACATTTTCAAAGTTAATAAACAAATTTTGGATGTTATTTTTGTGTCGGTTTAATGTAATTTACCACTAGGAAGTAGTCAGTCATATTTTCAAGTGCATAAATAAGGCCATGATACAATCCCCCCGTCCCTTTACCAAAACACCCAAGAAAACAACACCCCCTCCATTTCTTGGTTTTTGTTTTGTTTTTAAACAGACTAGTTTTCTTAGGTGGAACAGAAATCTAAAATATTAACAACCACCACAACGGTAATGAACAACAGTATTATGAACAAAAGTTGACAGTTCTTCCATAATAAAATCTGCAGTTCGAAGCAGAGATGTGGAGGGCTCAGGGGGACACAACCCCCCCCCAAAAAAAAATATTGGGGGAAGAAACCCCACAGATGTTTCCCTTTTGGATGTCTATTCAATTTTTCCCATGGAAAACTGGAAATTTTGAGGAGCACTGAAAAACTCTAAATATTTTATCTTTGGAATGAATGAAATCAATTTGATGACAAGACTCACCCAAAATCTGTAGTAAAATGATAATCTACAGTATTAGACAATAATACTTCTACATACTTTATACATTTTTTCCCTACTTTTCTGATGGCACAAATAAGATACATGTACTAAAATAGCACAATGTGCAGGAGTCTGCAGCTCTGTCTCTTTCTCTCTCTAGTATTGGATATATTCATAGTTCTGCTTGCAGACAACCAAGATATCTCTATTTTTAAATGATAAAAAATAAAAGCATACTTTTTGGCTTAAGCTATAAATTATGCCTTTTATATTGCTGAAGAGTAAGAAGTTCAGACTTGATAATGAAGAATTGTAACTGTTTCCCCCAAATTGCCAGTTCCCCCCACCAAAACAACAGAAAATGGTTTTCTTCAACAGTTTCAAAGTTTTCAAAAGTTTTACATCATTCGTTTTAACCCAAATTTCCTTATAAGGTTCTTCTAGGGAACTCTTAATTTTAACAATCCAGCAATGAAAACATGGACTGTGCTTCTCCTTGCTTAAAATTTTAATGAAAAAAGTTGTATATAGTAAAGGATAATCTGTTTTAGACTGGTAGTTCAGGTTAAACAACTTTACTGGGTCTCTTATAACTACTGAGTCTATGATGAATCAAAAGGATAATTATATAAGAATGAATCAGAAAAAATTTGGTATGCTATTAAGATCCAAATTTTAGTAGTATGCAAGTTGTTTCTGGATTTTCGTTGTTTTTCTCGACCTATGTTTTAGGCAAGAAATTCAGGGTCATCATCATTTATGCTATTAAAAATTCATGCACATTCATATTAGGACACAAGCTTACCTTCAATTTATCACTGTCGAGCAGCATTAACTGTTGTCCATCTATATTCCTGGCTGTAAACTCCATGATATACTGCTCCATGTTCATTCCTATTAGCCAATGGCACACTTGTTGTGTTGTCCATTCAGAAATGGGCCTATTGTGCCACTGATTTTGTTTCCCTGTGCTTGACGGTTCATCATCTGAAGTCTGACCAAGCAAAACCAAGCAATGTAAATTAGCATGCATTCAACTGGCTAAACAGAAGATGTATTTTACTGGTTTAGTTTAAGAATAATATACTCAGCGCTTCTAATAGCCATTTAAAAATACCCATTTTTTAAAAATAACATTTGTTGATTTAAAGCCATGTTTATGTCAAATTAAATTTAAAATATCTAGGTATTCAAGTTGGTGGTCTCCCCCTCCATTTAGTTTAACAGACAATAAAATGTATTTTTCTGCCACATTTTGAGAAACAGATATTGACTGAAATAAATATAGTTATCTGAAATAAAATGCTAAACCACACGTATCCATGGCAAGTAATAAGGGTCTCCCTTTCTGAAAAAACGTCCCATAAAGTTTATATTTTTATTTTGTTGATTAATTTGATTTATGGCTCACACTTTACTGCTATCGCAGGGCTCAGGGTGAGTAACAATGTATTTGTAAACACCTACATAAATAATTATAAAAACAATTTAAAAACTAATCATAATACACTGATGGCACGTACAATACAATTTCATCAGGGAGAATTTGGTCATATCCATACTGGGGAAGGCCAGAGAAAAGGTGGCAGACAGAGGGCCCATCAAGAGAGTTGTAATTCTCCTAAGTCAAAAGCCTCAGCCATAGGCCTGGCAGAACAGCTCTGTTTTGCAGGCCCTGTGGAACTGTAAGAGGTCCTGCAGGGCCTGGATCTCAGTTGGAAGAGCATTCCACCAGGCCAGGGCCAAGAAGGCTTTGGCTCAGGCTAACTGAATACTTCTCGGCCCAGGAACAATCGGAAGATCTTTGTTCAGAGAGAGTAATGCTGGGGGGGGGGGTGTACACCAGAAGAGGTGGTCCTGAAGGTATGCTGGTCCTAGACCATGTAGGGCTAAGATACAACCAACACCTTGAACCTGATCCAGAATTCAATCTGGAGCCAGTGCAGCTGGCACAGCACCAGCTGCATATGTGCTCTAGTTGGAGTGAGAACTCGCACTGCTGCATTCTGAATCAATTGAGGTTTCTGGGTCAGTCTCAAGTTGGATGTGTCCATAACTTTTGGATCACCTGTAATACTTACAAGGATGACAGTATGTGGTAAATTTATAAGAAGTGTGCCTGCACACAAAAGCTTATACCCAGGATTATAAACTTTGTTGGTCTTAAAGGTGCCACTGGACTCAAACTTTGTTCTATTGTTTCAGGCCAACATGGCTACTCACCTAAATCTGACTTGCTTTCAGCTGCTGATCTTCTAGGTGCAGAACTCAATATTTCTATCACACATAAAAATATACAGAAATGCCCACTTATGACTGCTTATGAGCACCTTTGAAACTGATACTAGCCAATACAAAGGGAAAGGGGGAAAGAACTGAAATTTCAGTCTGCGTACCATGTGTGGGAGACTATGTATCTATCAACTTAAATGAAGCCTATTTCTACACTAATCTGATGGGATGGCAAGAGCAAATTTTTTACAATTTGGCATTTAAGGTTATGATTTAGATGCATAATTAAATGCAAATCTAAATATAAGAACAGTAAATTTCATACAGAACAGCAAGGGCTTTTTTACATTACTTCACTGAACCTTATTAAGGGTATGAAGAAAATGATTCTCTTTTCTCCTTTTCCCTTCTCTCCTGGCAATATTATGATTTCCAAACCTAGAAACAACAACAGATTTCTCTAAAGCAGGGGTGCACAACTTTAAGAAGAAGAGATTGGATTTATACCCTGCCCTCACTACCCAAAGGTGTCTCAGAGAGAGTTACAAACTAATTCCCCTTTACACCCTGTGAGGTAGGTGGGGCTGAGATAACTCTTACAGAAACTGCTCTTTTTCAAGAACAGCTGTGCCAGAATTATGGCGTGCCCAAGGCCATCCAGCCAGGTGCAAGTGGAGAAGTGGGGAATCAAACCCGGTTAATTAATTATTGTATGGCACTGTGTGCAGTATAACCAGGAGATCCTAAGACTGACTGGCAGCTTTAAGTTCTTGTGGCGAGCTAAGACTTAGTTTTAGTCTGAGAGAGCTATGAAAGAGCTGTGACTGACCCAAGGTCACCCAGCTGGCTTCATGAGAAGGAGTGTGGGATCAAACCTGGTTCTCCAGATTAGAGTCCATCACTCTTAACCATTACATCACACTGGTGCAACTCAAGCAGTCACATGGGCCATAATGGATCTAGATTGGAACTAAGTGGGCAACCCTGTGACATCACCTGACTCCATTATGGCCTAAATAACTTTTTTTGGGGGGGAGGTGTCAGAATATCAACTTTCGGCTGTTTTCTGGCCTTGAAAATGCAAGTTCCTGGGATGCAAGGAGAAATTTCCACTAGTGGTGTGTTTTTGTGTCAGAATGCTGAATCTCAGTCCAGACAACAGCATTCTGAACCACTACTGACAAGAAACTTCTCCACTGCATCCCAGAAGCTTGCACCTCTCTGCTGTTCTGATGCTCCAGCCAAGAAGCTTCTAGGTGTCTCTGTACTCTGGGATGCAGCCAGAAGTTTCCATCTAACAACCAAACTCACACAAGCACACAGACCAGGGGTGTGGTGAGAAGTTTGGGAAGGCAGCATGTTGTGCCCCCCCCAGCTCTAAAGTTAGCAACTTAGCATACAATCTTTGGCCAACTGATGTTTATCTCTTGGCCAAACCCACACAGCAGACCCTCCATGGTTTACTTATTACTTCGCCAAAAAAGAAAAGAAAAAAGGTTAAGATGATCATGCACTTATATTCTTTGAAATTCTACCATTACTCAGATTTGCAATATGAACTCTAATAACTTTTCTTCATATTTAATTCATTCTACCTATAACAAGTTCTGCAGGCCTTGTTTCCAGCTGTAACTGGGTTGAAAAAAGTGTTTTATCAGACCACCCTTTTTCCTCCTGGACTTACAGCTCATTTCCTTAGATTATAACCATGACATGTAAGTTATTACAGATGCTTTTCTGATTTGTGCTTTCCTTGCAGACCACCACCTTTTCTTACATGTGCTATCTACAGAAAGCCTAAAAGGCTTCCAAATTAAACTGAGCTGTGGTCACGATAAAATTGCACTAAATCTGCACAGGTTCCACGGCAGCTGTTTGTATTGCTGAAGAGGCAATGTGCATTTCAGTTTAAGTTTTAAAACTGAGAAATGGATTGTGTCTTCAATGAGTCTTGTTAATTTCAAACCCAACACACACACACACACATTCCATTTTGCTCTTTGGCATTTCCTTCTATTTGTGCTGTATGTAGTCTTGTGGGTCATTTGAAAATACACCAGAAAAGTCAGTTTAAAATTAACTGGATCATTTAAAACAAAATACATTTCAATGATGTACTAGTAAGTGATGTCTTTAAATTCAGAACACCTTCCTACTCAGTTCTAAAATGTCAGGTCTTCCACCTCTAATTGAAAATAGGATTTTGTAAAAATATAACGGCTTCATTAAAATATTTTCAGTAAGCAAAGTACATATGCTTACTGAAAAACAATATTAAGGCTTTTTTTTAAAAAAATGGTCCCAATTCATTCTTCCTTGTAAACTGATAAACCCACCAATTCTAAATAAGGGAGGAATTAAATGCGAGATACACCAATTTCTGCCAAAAGATAACACAGTGAAACA